ACACACCCACACACCCACACACCCACACACCCACACACCCACACACCCACCCACCCACCCACCCACCCACCCACCCACCCACCCACCCACCCACCCACCCACCCACCCACCCACCCACCCACCCACCCACCCACCCACCCACCCACCCACCCACACACCCACACACCCACACACCCACACACCCACACACCCACACACCCACACACCCACACACCCACACACCCACACACCCACACACCCACACACCCCACACACCCACACACCCACACACCCACACACCCACACACCCACACACCCACACACCCACACACCCACACACCCAACCACCCACACACCCACACACCCACACACACACACCCACACACCCACACACCCACACACCCACACACCCACACACCCACACACCCACACACCCACACCCACACCCACACCCACACCCACACCCACACGCACACGCACACGCACACCCACACGCACACGCACACGCGCACGCGCACGCGCACGCACACGCACACGCACACGTTCATAGTACGGGCCGCTTTGTATTCATGCGAGCCAGGATGAAACCACCTTGTGATTTGAGACACACGTAGGGATGTTTGTCTATGTCTTCCCCGGGCTTTCACAACCATTGCAAGGGTTCCATTGAGACTGCAATGATCGTTCCCAACTGCCAGTTTTTTCTCGTGGTACGAGCTAACACCGCACCGCTGATTCTCCCCTTGTAAGTGCGACAACTCCAGTTTACAATGTTCTCCGACTGGTTGCCTGTGAACAAGGCTCATACTCTTGTACGCTAGGTCTCCTGTCCTACTTTCTCTGCTTCGCCATCGGCTACTTCGGGTTTGGCGAATACATCCCCGCACGGTCTTCTGCCATTGCTGCGACCTGCCCCCTGCTGTTTTCAATGTATGTGGCTTGGCGAAAGCACATGTTTGCGGCAGACAGAGACATGAGGAGTTGCATTGGACGAACATGTGCTCGGCAATCATCTCCAGGATGTTGTTTGAATTTTGCGTTTCAGAATTTGGTTGCTGGATTCACCGCAGGTGTGCCAGATGTGTATGTGGTCGTGTGCGTGTCATCAGAAGCTTGCCTGGGGCTGACGGACCGCAATCAAAAGACTTGGAGGGAACCTTCGGATGTGTTTTGGTTGAGGTTGGCTCGGCCGTTCTGAACGACTTGAACCGCATCCAGGGCTTGATGATCGGCAACGTTGTGGCCCGCCTCGCGCGGGGCTTTGTGGATGCTGAGCTGGCAGAATCACGAAGTTGTTCGGAGCAGGCTGAAGTCACTTCTCCTTCAGCCTGGTGGGCCTTTTTCACACCTTACAACACGAGGGCTTAGCAAATACTAGGGTTTTCTTCTTTTCATTTTCACACACCCAGTCCAAGAAGTCAGGATAGTTGCAACATCGAAGATTTGGCGCTGCATGCCGTGATCACGTTCCTTTGGGTCTTCGCCGGCCTGTTCACCTACTTTCACTCTCGTGCCTTTGATGTGAAGATATGTGAAGGCGTATCTCTGACTTTGAGCCACACCACTTTTTGTGTTCACCTTGGAACATGCTTCATGCGGCTTCATGTATTTGATGGAGATCGAGAATTACAGTAGCTTTGGGTTTGCCTCTCAAAGCACCAGCCATGGGCCGGCCAAAGAAAAGAGGTAAGCTGTCAAAGATGGCAGCCCTGGATTTCCTGGACTCAGGAGGTTCAAATTATTGTAAGGGTCGTGTTGGGTTTACAGATGCACCTCAGTCGGGCACTCGGATGCTTTGTTGGTCAGCTGAGCAACAACTCTAGCATCACCCACCCGCTCAGTTTTTTTTCCTTTTTTTTTTCCGTTGATCCATCCAAGCTGCTGCTGTCCTTCATGTTGCATTGTAAGGTTGATTTTGAGGCCGGTAAACTCATTCTGGTCTGGAATATGGTGGGGGTGAAGCTTGAGTGGGCCGGGCTGTGGGTCGGTTTGGGGTTGGCTTCGGCTTGCATAGGGGGTGGTATTGGGCTCAGTGATGGCGTAGAAAGGTCACATTCGGGTGGGCTTGGGGTGGGTCTAGGCCTGATTTGTTTGAGTTTTGAATCTGGTTTAAAGCAGAGGGTTCGAGTTTTCTTGTTGCAGGAAGGGCTTTCCAACCCATAGCAAGGGCTACGTGGTGTGCATTGCTTGCCTAGTTTTGCTTCTCTCACGTGAGTGATGTTACACACACACACACAGACACTGTCGTTTCACATAAAAGATTTGAAGGCGGGACTTTCCGAAACAAAACAAATGGTTTATGCTTCCGGGGTTGCCAGTCAGTTTTCATCTTGCCTCAGCCTTTGAGGCCAGTACTCAACTGTGGGCTGTTTGGCTGCAGCTTTCGGGGCGTCCACGTTGCTGGACGTCTCCTGCAACCACCCGGCTGCCTGGCTTCCTGGTTTCCGTTGAGTGGAGGGTCTTGATGCCCAAAGTTTTGATCAAAGGACTGATCTCGCTGTGAACAGCCTTGACGAAACAGGCAATTGCCCTTCCCAGAAATCGCCTTGAGCAACGGTCATTATCATAAATCCAGTGTTGAGGCTACTGACAATAGAAAACACCAGCAAACTCCCTAATGCCCGATGAAAGCTGCAATCGTCAATACCCCTGCATTACCTGGGCTATCCTGGGCTTTCCTGGGCTATAGCCTTCCAACACATGCTGTGCAGGCAAAAGCTTCAGGAGGGAGTGCTATGGATACCCTCCGGCTTGGGATCTCAAGTTTGTTCCAACAGCCCACGTCAGGTGAAATCCTCCTTGCGAGTAGTTTGGCATGGTCAAGCCTGGTCAAGCCACCTTTTTCATGATGCACATGCAACCCATCAACACATCCAACTCGCTAATGCAAGTGTCACTTGTTCCCATGGTGGCGGTTTGGGAGGTAGAAGTGCACGTGCACCGGCAGGGACACTCAAGGAAGAACACCCCGACACAAGTGGGGGTGCCTTTTGGATTGCTCTGCTTTTGCAGAGGAGGTGCAGCGAGATCTTGCATGTCCTTAACATTACTCGGGGAATCTCGTTGAAGCAGGACAGTCAGCAAACTGATTGGCTCTGCGTGATTGATGAATTGTTCGCTGATTGGCAAGAAAGATGACACATATCTTCTGCTCCAGGATAATGAGGCATCAGGTCGTTAATGAGTAGCATGGTTGTCCGTAGCTACCGCAACCTACATTCAGTTGTAGGAGGATTCCTACTTTGTTGAAGGAGTTTGCTTCCTCTTCCGGAAAGCATTGAACGCGTGAATGTCAATTTAGGGTAACTCTTGCCTCGACTTTGCTGGTTATGACTTTCCATTTCCGTGGGATGCATTGTTTTAGTGTGTTGTAGATAACTTTCTCAACAGACCTCTTGTAGAAGCCCACCCACCAGCTGAGCTTGCCACACATATGCAACCGAGGAGAAGGTTGGAAAGGTGGACACCTTCGATGCACTGATGATGAACTGCGTGGCGGTGGTGGTGACCATGCCTCTCGGCTTCCAAGCATAGATCCCCTGTCATACAAGCGCAACAAACCAAAAGGTCCTGGCAGCCACGTGGCTGTGCAAGAGCAGAAGGTCCAATGCAAATATTGTAGTACCCTTTCCAAAACGCATAATCTGAAGGTTCCTGCTTTCAGGCGAGCATCATCCTCGTGAAGGAAGCCGCGTCATTAGGGTTTGCGGTGTGTATCGTGGAAAGTCAGTTCTAGCACCAAGGATTTGGGACATTCTGCTGCAGTCCGCTCGCGCCTCCGACCTTGCCTTCAAATACCTGGATGACTGCTGCTTTGACGGCAAGACTGTGAGGGGTTGAGGTAATGTTGCTCAAGCAGAGAAGGGAGAAGCAACAAGCTCAGCCTTGGCGCTGCATTCTCTCTTGTCAAGACAACAGTTTCGATTCTTAGTTCTTTGGGGTTGACAGGCCGAGGTGACGCAAACAGCACGGTAATTAGAGTAGCCTAGAGTGGCATGAAGTGGCATGGAGTGCCATGGATTGGCATAGAGTGACACCGCCCCTGGTGAGGCAATCAGCACAGATATGCCGACGCGGCGGTTGAGCAAGTTCCTCTGCCATGAAACTAAAGTGTTTGCACGGAGTCCTCTCCCCAGCGTCCCTGCTCACACTTTCTCTCCTTCTCTCTCTCGCTTTCTCTCCTTCTCACACTTCTTCTCTCTTTCTCCCTTTCTCCCTTTCTCCCCGACTCCCTGTTTCCCTTTCTCCCTTGTGCCTGTCTCTTTCTTTTCTTTCTGTTTATTCTTTCTCTCTTTTCTTTCTGCCTGTCTTTCTGTTTTCCCCAGATAGCTGAAAGCTATAGGGGTTCTAACTTCTAGTAAAGAAGGGAAAGTGATTTGCGAGATTGAAGGCCGGGTGTTGGGGGGCATGCAGTTTGGGGTGCTGGTGGAGGTGCTGTTTTGCGAGCTTGACGGCCGGGTGCTAGGGGCTATGCAGTTTGCAGTGCTGCCGGGTGCTAGGGGGCATGCAGTTTGAATTTGGTTTTGGTGGAGGTGCTGTTTTGCGAGAATGACGGCCAAGCGCTAGGGGTCATGTAGTTTGGGGTGCTGGTGGAGGTGCTGTTTTGCGAGATTGACGGCCGGGTGCTGCAGTTTCAGGTGTTGGTGGAGGCGCCGCTTTGCGAGATTGACGGCCGGGTGCTAGGGGGCATGTAGTTTGGAGTGCTGGTGGAGGTGCTGTTTTGCGAGATTGACGGCGGGTTGCTAGGGGGCATGCAGTTTCGGGCGCTGGTGGAGGTGCCGCTTTGCGAGATAGGGGGCATGTAGTTGGGAGTGTTGGTGGAGGTGCTGTCTTGCCAGATTGACGGCTGGGCGCTACGGGTCATGCAGTTTCGTGTGCTGGTGGAGGTGCCGCTGTGCGAGATAGGGGGCATGTAGTATGGAGCGCTGGTGGAGGTGTTGTTTTGCGAGATTGACGGACGGGTGCTCGGGGGCATGCAGTTTCGGGTGGGAGGTGCCGCTTTGCGAGATAGGGGGCATGTAGTTTGGAGTGTTGGTGGAGGTGCTGTTTTGCGAGATTGACGGACGGGTGCTAGGGGTCATGCAGTTTCGGGTGCTGGTGGAGGCGCCGCTTTGCGAAGCTGACGGCCGGGTGCTAGGGGGCAAGTAGTTTGGAGTGCTGGTGGAGGTGCTGCTTTGCGAGATTGACGGCGGGTTGCTAGGGGGCATGCAGTTTCGGGCGCTGGTGGAGGTGCCGCTTTGCGAGATAGGAGGCATGTAGTTTGGAGTGTTGGCGGAGGTGCTGTTTTGCGAGATTGACGGACGGGTGCTAGGGGGCACGCAGTTTCGTTTGCGAAACTGACGGCCGGGTGCTAGGGGGCATGCAGTTTGCAGTGCTGAGTAAGGTGCTGGTGCCTGTGCTGTTTAAGGCGCTGATGGACACTCGTTTGAGGTGCTGGTGATGGTGCAGGCGTATTAGTTTGGGGAGCTGATGCAGTTTTGGGGTACTGTTTGGGGTCATGTTTGAGGTGCTGCTAACGTTGTGGGCGCAATTTTCGGAGATTGCCGGCAGGTGCTAGGGGGCGTGCAGTTTGGGGTGGTGGTGCAGGTGCTGTTTAGTGTTGCTGTTGGAGGTGCTGCTGACCGCGTGGGCGTATTTCCCAGATAACTGGAAACCATAGACTTCTAATGAAGAAGGGAAATGGTTTTGCAAGATAGGAGCTGGGGGGCATGCGCTTTGGGGTACCTGGCGCAGGTGCGGTTTTGGGTGCTGTTCGGTTCAGGTGCTGGTGACAGTGCGTGACGGCAGGGTGCTCGGGGCGCTGGCGCGGTGCTGCGTTGGGGTGCTATTGGGATGCTGTTTTTGGGTGTTGGGTGATGGTGCGTGCTAGGGCGGGTGCTGTTTGGGGTATCGTGGTTGTCGCAGCATCATGATGCTGGCCGCAGCGTCATGATGCTGGCCGCAGCATCATGATGCTGTCATCAGCATCATGATGCTGTTGAACCGATTCGGACGTTGCTGCTGCTCTAACTGTCGCGCGTAATGGTTCGTGGCTGGTGTGTCAGCATGATGTTGTCAACCACGTTATGATGCTGCTGCGATCGCTGCAATGCCGCGTTCTGGTTTGTGGGTGTGGCGGCGGGCATAATGCCTGTCAACATCAGGGTGATGCTGAATTTCATTACACTGTCGCAAGATGATTCGTGGCTGTGGTGTCATCAGGCTGCTGCCTTTGCCATCACCATGATGCTGTGAGCATCATCACGATGCTGTCCGCATCATCATCATGCTGTCGAACACATGAGGACGTCGTCTCTGCCTGTTTTCTGCTAGATATGTAGCGCGGAGTCGTTCGTGGCTGGTGTAGCAGCTAATCGTTTTGCTGCTGGACTCACTAGGGCGTTGTCTGCGCGTCTATGTAGCGCACTATGCTGAGTAGCTGTGGTATTTTCATGATGCTGTCAACATCATCAAGATGCTGTCAACATCATCATCATCATCATCATCATCATCATCATCATCATCATCATCATCATCATCATCATCATGCCGCGGGAACCATTATGGTGCTGCGTCATGGTTCGTAGCCGTGGTGTGCTATCTGGGGTCTATGCTGGTGTTTTTTCTTTGTATATTTCCTTCTAGTGGGCACAGAGGCTGCCTAGAGCCCAGCTCTGGGTGCTAGGCCCTGAGTGAATGCGGGATGTGAACGTGCTAAACTTTGTCTTGAAGGCGCATTTGGCTGACGTGCCAGATCGAGAAAGCTCTATGAAGGGCCTAGGGTCCTTGGCGCCCGATGGAATTAGATGCAGACACGGTGACGGTTTTGCTGCACTTGGCCGGAAAATGCTTGTTGAGCCCGGGCGTGTTGCCCCCGCGCCCAGCAGGCAAACAACCAAATGCAACATTCGGTTGCCTCTTTGATTCGGTAGCAACGGGCACCCTACTATGGAGAGAAAGGTGTCTACGGAACTTCTAGCCATTGAAAGATGCTGGTTGCAACCGATTGAGGCTATGCTTCGGCATTAGAGACTCAGCCGCATGTCGCTTTGCGTCTCCGGGTTTGCCACAGCCAAGGCTGGGAGGAGATGCTGCTGAGTTTCAAGAACCTCCTCGATCCCAACACCGACACCGTGGCCTTCCACTCAGCCACCGCACGCCAGCTACTGCTACAGGCGGAGCAGATGAGCCCGGCTCTAAGAACGGGGGCTCAGCAATGACCTGTGTACTTCTCGAGAGGGGGTGTGTAGCATGGTAGGGGGGAAATTGAATTGAGCACCAGGCTGCAAGGCAATTGTCATGCAATCAGAGCACCAATCCTTTTGAGACAAACCCACACTTTACACACGGATTGCTTCCATCTGCAAATGTGGCGATCTCTGGTTGCAACGGCGTTTTGCATTGGTCAATCCTAACAGTAGGGGGCAAGCCTTGTAAACTTGCCATCCTTTTACCTCCTCTTGGACAACCTGGCAAGATACACTGAACAAGATGTTGAAGCCAACCTGCAATAACTCGTCCAGCAGCCCTTCAAGGCGATTA